TGGTGTATGTATAACAGAGAAAAAGAGATGGAGGGAAGGAAGGAAGGAAAAGGGAAAGACTAGGTAGGTTATGCGTGGTGTATGTATAACAGAGAAAAAGAGATGGAGGGAAGGAAGGAAGGAAAAGGGAAAGACTAGGTAGGTTATGCATGGTGTATGTATAACAGAGAGAGAGAGATGGAGGGAAGGAAGGAAAGAAGAGGGAAAGACTAGGTAGGTTATGTGTGGTGTATGTACTGTAACACTAACAGAGAGAGAGAGAGGGGGGATGGAGGGAAGGGAGGATGATGGAAAGACTAGGTAGGTTATGCGTGGTGTATGTACTGCTACAGACATAGAGAATGTAGGTTGTGTGTGGTGTATGTGTAACAGAGAGAGAGAGGGGTGGATTGAGGGAAGGAAGGAAGAAGGAAAGACTACATAGGTTAAGTGAGGTGTGTGTATAACAGAGAGGGAAAGAGATGGCAGGAAGGAAGGAAGAGGGAAAGACTAGGAAGGTTATGTGTGGTGTATGTATAACAGAGAGAGAGAGATGGAAGGAAGAGGGAAAGACTAGGTAGGTTATGTGTGGTGTATGTATAACAGAGAGAGCGAGATGGAGGGAAGGAAGGAAGGAAGAGGGAAAAACTAGGTAGGTTATGTGTGGTGTATGTATAACAGAGAGAGAGAGATAGATAGAGGGAAGGAAGGAAGAGGATAAGACTAGGTTGGTTATGTGTGGTGTATGTATAACAGAGAGAGAGAGACAGAAAGAAGGAAATGAGAGGCTAAGACTAGGAAGGTTATGTATGGTGTATTTATAACAGAGAGAGAGACAGAGAGAAGGAAGTGAGAGGGTAAGACTAGGAAGGTTATGTATGGTGTATTTATAACAGAGAGAGAGAGAGAGACAGAGAGAAGGAAGTGAGAGGGTAAGACTAGGAAGGTTATGTATGGTGTATGTATAACAGACAGAGAGAGAGAGAGACAGAGAGAAGGAAATGAGAGGGTAAGACTAGGAAGGTTATGTATGGTGTATGTATAACAGAGAGAGAGAGACAGAGAGAAGGAAGTGAGAGGGTAAGACTAGGAAGGTTATGTATGGTGTATGTGTAACAGAGAGAGAGAGAGAGACAGAGAGAAGGAAGTGAGAGGGTAAGACTAGGAAGGTTATGTATGGTGTATGTATAACAGAGAGAGAGAGACAGAGAGAAGGAAGTGAGAGGGCAAGACTAGGAAGGTTATGTATGGTGTATTTATAACAGAGAGAGAGAGAGACAGACAGACAGACAGAGAAAAGGAAGTGAGAGAGTAAGACTAGGAAGGTTATGTATGGTGTATGTATAACAGAGAGAGAGAGTCAGACAGAGAGAAGGAAGTGAGAGGGTAAGACTAGGAAGGTTATGTATGGTGTATGTGTAACAGAGAGAGAGAGAGAGACAGACAGACAGAGAGAAGGAAGTGAGAGAGTAAGACTAGGAAGGTTATGTATGGTGTATGTGTAACAGAGAGAGAGAGAGACAGACAGACAGAGAGAAGGAAGTGAGAGAGTAAGACAAGGAAGGTTATGTATGGTGTATGTGTAACCAGTATCTGACATTCCTACACTGTTCTGAGTTATCTTAATGCATTAACAGATACCACGGTTTTCTCTTCACTAATTAATTACTTGTGCTATGTTTATCAATATAGTCAATAGCTGTCACTTAAAATGCTTTTAAACGATTAGTTACAGGTTGTTCAATTTCATTTATAATAACAGTATGCATGCAATTTCTATGCACAGATCCCAGTATAAAGCAGACTTTAAGCTGAAGTCTCACTGTATAAATTTCTATGTAACCCTGTATAATTTAGACTCCTGTAAAAAAAAAAAAGACCTTTCATTAGGTCACACTGTATATATTTCCATGTAACCCTGTATAATCTGGACACCTGTATGGACCTAAACTTCAGATGTTTCATACAGTCTTGAATAGGGTAAGATTTACAACCTCCTAGCATGGATGTGTAAAGCATTTTTTAACACTGTCTTGACATATTGCTGACTGTAAGTAAACAAAAATATAATTTATGATCTATAAATATATATGTGTATATAAATCTGAGCAATTTATGTGAAATTGCATAAAGATATATCATGTAAAGGCCTGGATCATTTGTTCAAGAGAGTTCAAAGATCAGCAGGATATAGCTACGTTGTACTTTTCAGGGTAAAGTTTCAGCAAGGAACCATCAGCAGGAATATGACAAGCTTGCCAACCAAGCAGGCCTCTTCATCCCCCAACGATATATACAGAAGCTCCCAAATGCCTCTTGGTCTCAAGTAGGGCATGTCATGTGTTGTGTAGTGCTGGCAGATGGCTGTTCTATATCTGTACAGAGTCTTCTGTACTCATCCTCATCCCATCCTACCCATTCTCCTGCCTCCCTTCCACTCCTTAGTCTAACAGGCTTAAAATGCAGCCTTCCTGAATGTCTCTCTCAAGACTTTTGACGATAAAGTCGGTAAGCAGCATCAATCAAGATTTTTTTTAACCAGAAATCTAAATGCTTGAAGACAAACTAATTTTTTTTCCTCCAAAATGTAATGAATGCATTAAAATTTACACCAAGATTGGGTGGTATAAGGGGTCCAAATTAACTTGAATACTTTTCAGGGAAATGTTTTCTGTTCAAATGCATGATTTGAGACTTGTTGACATTTTTCTCTTGAATACAGACATAAGAGATGCTGACTTTGGAACAGGTCTTAATCCTACAGTAGACGAAATGTAATCGCTTTCTGAGGCACATCCTGCTGGTGGGATTACAACATTTCTTACAATTTCCTTTCTCTACCAGACTTATGTTAAAACGACATGGCTACAAACCAATGTTTGAAAGTAATGACATTGTTTTTTTCAGTTGGCCTTTACTACTGATTTTGAAAAATATGGCATTTTAGTTTGTAAGACAGCATACATGATTTTTTACTCAAATAACTTCAAGAGTGAATAATCAAAGAACCAGACAAAATATTATAGCAGGATTCGTCCACAAAAAGTGACTGACTCAAAATTAACAGTTACAGCTATTCTTTACAATCAATGAAGTGTGGTAGATTGGGCCAGACTTAATAATCCGAAAGTTTTCTGTAGATCACAAGTTAAGTCAACTAACCACCAGGTCGTCCTTACTAACAACTGATGACTGGACTGATCTCTACTAATATCAGCCAAGTGTTTTCTCTTGTCTTTGTGCTGTACTGTCTGTTACACGGTTTATGACTAAACCTGCTCTCCAACTGTTGTGTGTGAAAACCACAAAACTCCTCAAGTGATGTTAAGGGGAACCAGCTGTATTCTATAAACCAATGGATCCGCCCCCTGTGTCAGCGGATAACTCCACAATAAAACCTGGGCATTATTACTTAAACATTTAGAATTAATGAGAAAGCTACATGATAATCAGAGCCATGCAAGTAAAACAATATGGCAGCCTCGAACACTGACACCTTGGAAATACCTATGCTAGGCAGCAAGGTGATTTTAATGTGGATGCTGCAGATTTCCAATTTCAGACTCTGTCATTTAGTATGATCTAGTGGACATGCCTTTGTCCAGGTGCATTAACTGGGTAACTGGTTACCGTAAATCCCCTGTATCTTCTGTCAAGGTGTGGTACTGATGGACAATAAGTTACCGTAAGTCCCCTCTATTTTCTATCAAAGTGTGGTACTGAGGGACAATTAGTTACCATAAATCCCTTGTATTTTCTGTCAAGGTGTGGAACTGAGGGACAACTAGTTGCAGTAAATCCCCAGTATCCTTTGTCTTGGTTTGGTAGTGATGGACAACTGGTAATCCCCTTTAACCTAGTCCAGGTGCAACACAGATAAGAAACAGGTTACTGTAGTCCCAATGTCCCATACACATGTAGTAATTTGGAAACAGGTTACCTATCAGGGAAACATAGAAAAGAGAGAGAGAGAAAAGGGGAAGTGAAAGGATGTGGAAGGCCAAGGCAACGGAGAGAAGGGGAGGAACAAAGAAAGGAAAAGGAGGAAGTCTGGTACGCCATGAAACTGACAACAGCAGATACAAATGATCACCATACATCATGTCCTATTAAAGCCAGATTCCAGACAACACTGGTCAGATTTCAATTATTGTCATTTACAGACTGTGGGCAGATACAAACTGGATTGTCTGTGACTTACAGAAAACAAAACTTTCCTAATTACTAGTACCTATCTGTCCTGTTACTGGGTACTGTTGGTGAAAGTGTGCGAAACTTCCAGTGATGCCCTCGGAGACCTATTGGGCTCTGAATCAAATCCCACATTATCAACAGGTCTGAACACAATAGACCCAGTCTTTGAAATCATCTCTATTGTTGACATCGATGATAACCCATACACCTTGGAATAGCCCCACCCCCATTATTTCCATCTCTAACTTACAAAACACATTTATCAGTAAACACTAAACAACATTCCCCCTGGAACACTCATCTCCACTTCATCATTAATGTCAATGAGAAGGATTATGCTACCACAGCAGAATTAATATCATTTGTTCATGCAAAACAAAAAATTACTTTTATCATTTTGATGATTATGGATGTGATCCCTCCCCTTAACAATTGTTTATGTGTACAATTCCTCTGAAAGGTCTTTCACTCACAGAATCTGTTCATACTTTTTTCAGCAGAACCTTCTCTGAAGATATAATTACTTTCATACAAAATTTAAATGCTGGAGCAAAAACAGAAACCAAATCAGGATACTTGTGGACCCTTGCCCTCTAATGTCTAGCTTAGACCGAAAGAGATCAGCCAAGTCTATTTCAGGTGCTGGGGAGGCCGGAGGGTAATCTCATAGTCTATCAATGCCAGTAGTTTAATTCACTGTGTCTGGTGATCTGCCCTTCATTTCCTCGTGATGCATGCCAAAAAATAACATCACACATGATCATCTACACCTCAATACCCCAAAAACCAGGTGCTACTTTCACTGATCCCAAACCTCATTAACTTACCTGTTCTGGTTTGAGTCCAGGTGGTACCCAGGTGTATTCCTCCAAAGGACATCCACTATCATCATCAGAAGTAGAGTTACGTTTTGTGTCATGGATCAGTCGCTGGAGGCTACGTTCCTGGTCCCCTGTGCTGCTCATGTCATGAGTCTCCGGCGGACATTTGCAATGTTTACATATTTTTCTGGAATGACAGAAAAAAAGAAATTGATTGATGAATAAATATATGAAAAAGGAACTCCAGATCTTACAATAATTTTCATCTGTTAAGGAAATATTCCTGCTTTTAAAAACAAAACAAAAAAAAGCACCTAAATGCAGCTTAGTAAATACTTTACACTGAAGAAATGGAGGCAAGGAAAATTACCAATGAAACATTTCAATGTTTGCTTTAAAGCGCAGAACAACACTTGTCAACAGATTCATGCATTATGCTTACATAATAGTTATGTACAAAACACATAAAAGCAGATTGGTTTGTAAATCCACAATGATGTCCACACCTATGGGAGTGCTATATATCTATGTTATCCCAATCAATTACATTAGTCAACATTCTGCATAAGCTACGAGTTCTGATAACACAATTTACATAGTTCACACATGTCTAGGGAGACATGGGAAAATGCCTTCATGTTCCATTTCTGTAAAAAATGTCTGATATCCTTCACTTTATCACAAGTTTCTTATCTCTCCTGATCTATACACATTGAAAGAAACAACTGCAATGATAGGGTTTGGCTTCATATTCTTTGGATCGTCATTGACAAGGCCACCTTTTATATGGTACATAGAATGCACTTGTATTCTGGTGAACAAAATATCAATATTGCTGAGCCAGCAAGAAATCACACACTCCATTCTTGAATAGTGTTCTACTGCTGATAATAAGAATTATTAATTGGTTTAGATTCAGTGGGACGTCATTATTCCTTGCCTTTTTGTCTCTTATGATTTTCATTATCCACCTGTTACTTTAACAAAATTCTAAATTTATCATGTCTATGAAAACATCTAAGTCTGTCAGGTCATTGAATGTCTCTATGGGAGGATTGGAGGATTTAATGGCAACTATACAGAAACACACAAAATATTGAAGAGTTCTCCTGATTCTCTTGTCACATCTCCAGCTGTGGCAGAAACAGGAAGTAGGCTTTAGGGCATAAAAAAACGGTCATTTAACCTTCCATGGCGCCTAATATGTTGTCAAGGAAACACTAAGGCACACCTACACATATTTCACTTCACACAGGAGAGTTCTCCAATCAAACTTATACATGACACATCCACACATCACTCTATTGCGAGATTTCATCAATTAGCTATGTACACAAGCGGAATATTTCTCTAAGGACCCATGACATCACACTACTTTTAACTCATTTAAATGTGTGCTTTGCAGTCAAGATCTGTTCATAATTTCATTAGCATGATAACATACTATATGGAGTTTATCCCCTAGATTCATTCTGGAAAGATTGTGAACCCTCCAAAAACCTGACAAGGCTAGCACTACAAAGGTTATATATTATCTTTGTAACAATGTCACTGATTGCTTGAAACATATGTGAATCTGAATCACGGAAAATGTGTTTGCAATAAGAATGAAACGAAAACATAGAGCCTGCAACTTCGAGAAACTTTATCAATGCTTTGCATTTGGATATGTCAGGATTAGTGGTTCTTAATAAGAAGTTATGGAAGGAAAATATGAGAAAACAATTGATGATATGGTGTGTGTGACATAGTATGCTGTAATTAAGCATCCTATAAACCACATTACATTTAAAACTCCAGTAGCCCTTATTAACCCTTTTAGTATCCCTGTCTCCATGCAGTAGCCCTGCCCAATTGAGTAGCACTGACCCCATTGAGTAACCCCAACCTACATCGAGTAGCACTGCCCCTATTTACTAACCCCAATCCTCAATGGGTAGTACCAAGTAGCCCAAACCCCACTGAGTAGCTCCACTCCCATTGAATAGCCCCGTCTCAACTAGCAGTATCTGTCCCTATTGACATTAACCCTACTCCCATTCAGTAGTCCCATCCCCATATAGTCCATTATTGCCTTACAACACTTGCTTGCTTGTTTCTGACCACCTTACTGCAGTTACAAACACAGAGAAATATGCATAGATAAATATTTGTGACCTTCTGACATTCTGTGAAGGCCCAGTTCATTACCACAATTGTATAGAATGCTGTTTATCCTTTGAGTGTTCTCTACCGTTGGCTTTGAAATGTAAACAAAAAAGATACATCTGATAGAATAACCTCTTCTGTTACATACATGAACATCCCTCCCCTCCCCCCATTCCTCCCTCCCCCGAACACAGAAAAAAAAATATGCTGAAATTACATAAATTGACAAACAATGTACCAAGAATTTTCAAATCATCACTTCCATTGTGATATTGATACATAAAACCTTTCCCTTGGTTATTCAAGGCACCAACGAATTGTTCAGACATTTTCACTTTTGATATTAACACCTTCATGAATATTTCAAATCGGACATAACTACCATTTACACTTTCAGTTATACATAGTATTGATCACTGCCCGAGACGAGATGTATCCTCACTCACCAAGATTCGTATCGTACTTGTGATAAACCTAATCCATATTGTTGCTCATTCTCCACTCCCTGCCACATCCAAATAGACAGAAAGCCCAAAACTAATTGCTGGTCTTTTTATGGCGAGAAATAAATGCATAAAATGATGGCGATGTATAAGAGATACTTCCAAAACAGCAACAAATTATACAGAATATGATGGGCGGAAAATATTCTACCGAATTTTGATGAGATTAGAATTTGGTACGGGACAGCTCCTCGCATGCTTATGAGCCAGTGATTAAGGCTAAAAATGCAAATATCATACAAAAACGGAGGCAGTAAATATGGCAGCCAATTTAACTCTATATGCCAAGCCACAAGTTACTCTTTATCAGGACAAATTAGGAAGAACTCCATGCTAGAATACCCAAACAACTCCCAAAAGACTAAACATTCAGGAAAACAACACAAAGCTACTTTTGCATGACCACAGATGAATGTCAAGCTAAAGGTCTAAACTTATTCTAAATGAAAATGTATTTGTTTTTATGGTAATAAACTCCAACATGGAAAAGTGGATTATCCTCTCAGGAACTACAGCTATAATTTATTGTCTGGTGGTCTGATCCCGAGAACAATCCAACGAGATAAAGACTCAAGGTCGCAGACAGGGAGCAGAGGACAAAAATGCAAAACAATGAATCGTAGTCTATTTCCAATCAGAAGATTGACTGAAACAGTTGCTATTTAAATTGATTAGGGAACTGGGGCTGAATATAAAGAAATATTTGATGTGCTTCTTGCCTGTTTGATGGACCGCCATTGGCTGGCCTTTGATGGGAAGTTAACACAACAATTGGCCATTACCATAAACACTTATGACTGTGCACTTCAGAAACCATGGCAACAGAAATATGTTTATTGTGCCATAAAGCAAATGTTTTCAAATGTTGTTCACTCTGGCCATAAATAGAAGAAAAAAAAATACATTAAACTCCATCAAAGTTGTTTGATTCACAAATTCAAGCGTGTTGATGAAGACCTTAAGTTCTACTTAAATTTCTTCCATGTTACATACGTACATCTCAAACAAGATGAATCTACTATGTCCAACAGCCAATTAATGTAATTACAAGAACTTTTTCCTACAGATGATGAATACCATCTGGATTCTGTGTTGGCATTGTGAAATTAAGTGGCCATGTTTTAATGTAGCTTCTCATGCAATAGCTAAGGGTGAATACATGAGACAATGACTAGTTACCAGCCCCTAAGTTTATTTTAGATTTATCTCCCTTCCCTGTGAACCATAAGATCACATGTGTCTAACAGATCAGGCCTCAGGATAAAATGATCTAAAGTCTACAACTCTTATTAAGTTTTGAGGTAGCAAATCACAGATAATGTCATAAAAAGAGCCGTCGTATGTGATTAGCTAAGCAAAATCTTAAGTTTAAGAGTGCTTCATTATCCTTCAGCCAGAATTTATAACACAGTTCTAGACACATGACAATCTATACTCCAATATTCTGCTCAATGATTGTACATGTACAAAAGTTAAGAAAGAGAAATTTAGCACCTCTGAATACAAAGAGCGAGAAAGGAAAAAAAGAGCTTTATGTTCAAAATTAATTTCTAATTTTATGATAGAAATGATCTATGGAGATTGCGAGGTCTTAAAATCTGAAATTTTCCAAGAACCAATCTTACACTCACTCAATCCATAAAAAAGACATCTGATTTTTATAAACTATCTATTTACATATAGATATACTGTTTTAATGTCAAACTTCTGTGTTCACAATGGACTGCATTTGGACAGTACTCTGAATTCTGTGTTCACAACAGACAGTGTAAATGGACAATGTTATGAGGGACACATTTCAGGAAATCAACTTGCTTCTGTTATTTTACTATATAACACTTATATTTTCCTTAATGAAGTGAAAAAAAATTACAAATGAGAATACTGTATGTGTTAAGAAATACCAACATCCTTTGGATTTTTTGATGTGTGAAATGAACCCTGCTTTAAGCAAATGAAACCTCATTTCAAAAGACTTTGTCTGGAAAGCATCGTGATATACCAGTACATACAGTAACATGATGTAAGAGATGCAATGTTGATGTAATTCTACATCATTTTGTGACCTCACTGATCCATTTTCAAATGTCTGTCCATCAAAGACATTGGGTGTTGGTTGTATGTATGATTGATCAATACAGGTTTAAAGGATGACAGCAAGACACATCCTGTCATTTTTTATCTGTCTTTAAATTCTTCACTAAAAATACCCAGAATGCATCGATATCACGCACAACACCAGTATACAAATAAATAGCTAAAATATAAAGGAGACTTACCGTATAAGGTGTGTAAATGAAGGATTTCTTTTTTTACAAAAGATATCTATATTGTATTAATCAAGGAATGAGTGTAGATAAACACTACACAGAAACAAACAACAACCCTAAACATCCCGTTTCTGGATCATCGCGATCACTAGTTCCTATGGACACGAAAGTTCAGAACAACAGAACTTATCATATAATCACATTATTAATTGAGGGTGTGAATGGAATCAGAAAATCTTTAATGAATTTCTCATTAACTCTCAAAT